ACTCGGCTAGGGTTAAAGTCTATTAATTAAAAGTAAACCTCTTCAATAAACTTCTTACCAGGTCTAATGAAGACATTTTCCACAGACAACATTGCTGCTATTGGAAGTAGTAGATCTTCACAGTCCAGAGAAGCAGCCTTTATTACTGCACATGTCAGATGTGGAGGGAGAGGAAATTCTACCATAGACAAACCCAATCTGGTCACATGGCCATTCCTTAATAGAAAAAAAAGTTCTTATGTCTTTCTACTTTGGGAGAGTACAAATGAAATGCTCATCATTCAGAATAAATCAGACATAATTTAGATTACCTTCAATCACCCCCATAAATTCAATTTAAGAAACATGATACACTGTAGTCATAGATAAGAAAAACATCAAGATAATAAATTCCTTGTTGCCAAGGGCCAGTACATTCAAAATCCTAAACAATGATGCAAAATAAAGTAGTATAACAGACACAAAATGCTATGGAAACACAGAGGATGTCCTTGAAGTAATGGAAGTAATGAAAGAGTGATAATTACCAAATCCTTCCCCATCACACAATCATGAGAACAAGGATTCTGGCTCTCTTATCATTTTGATATACCCAGCATAATGCCTGGCACTGAAACAGTACTCAGAAATTACTTGTTAAATAGTACTAATATTGAACAAAATTCATTTTATGGTATAATTTGTAAATTCAGAATTGTGGTGAAAAAAGGCTGAGGACAATTTCTAATTTCAGGTAAAACAATCCACTCAATTCAAACAAATTATTTTATACTTATAAGGAAAGTATTAAGAAGTCTATTTTAAAAAGAAATTAACATCTGTTGTGGTTGGGTTTTGGGGGAGGGGTTTTGTTTGGTTGTCTCTTTACCTGTCAATAGCATCACACTGATAAAGTTGTTTAAGGGCTTCCAAAATAAGTCTCTCATTAGGTGGGTCCAAATAAGGAAACCTGTGTTTACATGAGACATAAAATGAGATCCCATTTCTTGAACACAGTACGATTTTATACAGACTTGAAACTTCCTTTAAAAGGTTTTAGCACTCCTATTTTTCAAATACTCTCTCTTCTTTTTTTAAGGCATCCTATGATCATGATCAGCATTCAGCAAAAGAGGAAATAAGTTTTTCTGAATCATAGTCTTTGATTAATTCGAGAAGCACCTGTTTTTGATCTCCTTAGCTGGAACACCCTTGCCATTCCTCTTATCTGAATCCTGCCCCATTCTTCAAAGCCCAATGTCAACTCTATTCTGTTCTTTAGTCCACAATTTTATTATAAGTTTATAAAACAATGGAGAAAAATTCACTGCAAGTGGCCAAAAATTACAGAATGTTTAATAGTACTTCAAAATGGCTTTTGATAAAAAGGCAAGTATGTTCAATTAATTTTACCATATTTGCTTTATGTATCTGTATGTACCAATTCCTTAATTTCTCCTAAACTCTTAAGGCAAGTTGCAAATACAATGCTTATTCATCCCCAAAATACTCAGCATGCATCCCCTGAAAATAAGGACATTCTCTTACATAACCACAATACCATTAATAAACATAGGAGAATTAATAATATTCACAAAGGATAACCGTGGCATATAACCCAGCATGAATATATATACATACTTTTAAACAGGAGCAATAGTTACTTGATTATACCAATCTTGTTTCTCCAATGTAACTTAAGCTTAGTGAAAGCAAAAAACTACTCGAGTATTACCGTTTCTCACAGTGCCTAGTACACAAAGCTGGCTCTACCAAAGATGCTACAAAAAAACCCCACCATTTTATCTGGAATTATGATCATTATATACCTTTCATAACAGATAAACAGTGGTCACTAAATGACCCAAATAATATCAGCATGAGGCACACCATTAAACCAAGGTTAAAATATGAGCAAGGGCCTGCCTGGCATGGCTCAGTGGTTGAATGTTGAGCTATAAACAAGGAGATCATGGTTCAATTCCAGTCAGAGCACATGCCTGGGTTGCAGGTTCAATCCCCAGTAGCTGGTGTGCAAAAGGCAGACGATTAATGATTCTCTCTCATCATTGATGTTTCTATCTCTCTCCCTCTCCCGTCCTCTCTGAAATCAATAAAAACATATTTTAAAACAAATATGAGATTGGGGTCAAAGTCTAGTAAAGCATCATAAAGAAGCCTTTTGTATGGGTTTACTTAAATCTTGAGATATAGGGATATCTGAGCCAAATACTTCAAAAGAATTTCTGAGAATTAACCAGGCTCCACCCTAACACATTTTCCTTTTTTTAAAAGCTGTCTACATACCTTATAACATCGTGTATGGCAAGGCACTTTAAGGTCAAAACTACAGATGTCAAACTAGTTCTCTTAATCTCAGGGATCACATGGTCGGGCATACACTGGTTCCAAAAATCTTTACTATAGATCCGAAAGCATTTTCCTGAGGAAGTCCTACCAGCTCGACCACTTCGCTGTAACGCCTCACTCCTTTAGAAGAAAGAAAAACAAAAGTCCCCAAAATGTTCAGCATGGAGGAACCTGGAGAGTATTATGCTAAGCAAAACAAGCCAGTCAGAGAAAGATAAGTATCTTACTCATGTGGAATCTAATGAACAAAATAAACTGATGAACAAAATAGATCCAGAGACATAGAGGAAAGGAACAGACTGTCAAATCTCAGAGGGAAGGCGGAGGTAGGTGGGTGGGAAGAGATCAACCAAAGAACTTGTATGCATATGGACACAAACAATAGGTGGTGAAGGCCAGGTGCGGGGGGTAGGGGCAGGCTAGAAGGAGACAATGGGGGGAAGATGGGGGACACATGTAATACTTTCAACAATAAAGATTAAAAAATAATGTTATGTGTTTCCTAAGCAATTCACCTCCCACCCTGAACCAACTAGAAATTATCTAATCCATGGTTCTTTGAACAAAAACGCGTGACATAGAGACTTACTTTGAAATTGGAACCACCTCCAGGATGTCCAAGCCTAATCTGGGATTGTGATTTAACTGCTTCACAAAGCCACCATCTACCACATACCTAAGAAGAATGAAAACAAGTTAAGTTTCTAGAAAATAAGGAAAGAGTTGTTAATTTTCAGCCACTATGGAATCTCCTTTTTCACCAAACTAACAACTACATGATGACTTTAATGTTAATTGTAATACTTGAAAGTCAAGAAATTGGAACTTCATACATTCCTGCTGGAAATGTAAAATGGTTCAGCCAATGTAATGTGGAAAAAGGTTTGAAGGTTCCTCAAAATGTTAAACACAGAATTACCATGTGACCCAGAAATCCATTCCTAAGTAAGCACCCCAAAGAACTGAAAACAGGACTCAACACATATTTGTAGATGTATGTTCATAGCAGCACTATTTGTAAGAACCAAAAGGTGGAAAAAAACTTAAATGTCCATGGCCCATTAAGAAATGAATAGATGCATAAATTATGGTATCTATATATATAAAAGCCTAAGTGACTGTTCGACTGGTAGCTATGTTGTGCACTGACCACCAGGGAGCAGATGCTCAACACACAGGAATGAAAACATGGAACAGACTGATGAATCTCAGAGGTAAGGGGGGAGGGTGAGAAGAGATTAACCAAAGATCTTATATGCATACTAGAGGCCCTGAACAGATCTGTGCACCGGTGGGGTCCCTCAGCCTGGCCTGCGGGGATTGGGCTGAAGTCAGCAGTCTGACATCTCCCAGGGGGTCCAGGATTGTGAGAGGGCACAGGCCAGCCCAAGGGATGCCACCAGTGCATGAATCCGTGCACCAGGCCTCTAGTATACATATAATGGCATATAAATCATATTCTGAGTTACTGCTTAAAGTATACAGGATTTTATTTTGGGGTGATAAAAATGTTTTAAAACTAGACAGAGTTGCCCTAGCTTGTTTGGCTCAGTGGATAGAGCGTTGGCCTGCAGACTGAAGAGTTCTGGGTTCGATTCCAGTCAAGGGCACATGCCTGGGTTTGGGCTCAATCCCAGTGGTGGGCATGCAGGAAGCAGCCAATCAATGATTCTCTCTCATCACTGATCAGCTGATCAATGATTCTCTCATATCATTGATGTTTCTATCTCTCTCCCTCTCCCTTCCTCTCTGAAATCAATAAAATAATAATTTTAAAATTATATAATAAAATATTTTTTTTAAATATATTTTATTGATTTTTTACAGAGAGGAAGGGAGAGGGATAGAGAGTTAGAAACATCGATGAGAGAGAAACATCGACCAGCTGCCTCCTGCACATCTCCCACTGGGGGTGTGCCCGCAACCAACGTACATGCCCCTGACCGGAATCGAACCCGGGACCTTTCAGTCCGCAGGCCGACGCTCTATACACTGAGCCAAACCGGTTTCGGCAAAATATTTTTTTAAAAACTAAATAGAGTTGGTGGTTGCACAATGTTGTAAATGTACTAAATACTACTTAATTGTCCAGTGTTAAATGTTAATTTTATGTTATACAAAATTGAGCCCAGCCGTTGTGGTTTAGTGGTTATCATCAACCCATGAACCAGAAGGTCATGGTTCAATTCCCAGTTGGGGCACATGCCTGGGGCACATGTGGGCTCGATCCTTAGTAGGGGATGTGCATGGGGCAGCCGATCAATGATTCCCTCTCATCATTGATGCTTCTATTTCTCTCTCCCTCTCCCTTCCTCTCTGAAATCAATAAAAAATATACTTAATAAAAGAAAAAAAAAAGTGAACATAAATATTATGTGCACTTCCTACTCCATTTCCCTATTTATTGCAATCAATAATTACAAAAATGACAGGTGACTTCAAATTAAGGTGAGAAGGGAATTAGTGGAGGGCACAGAGAAGCAAACTCAATGTTTTATGATTAGCTAAGTGGCTTTCTTGGCTTTAAAAGAATTTTTTAAAATTGTACCTGATTCCATCTATTGTCAAAGATGTTGCAGAAATATTAGTGGATACGACACATTTTCTAATTCCAGGTGGAGGTGGCAAAAATATTCTCCTCTGTTGATCTAAAACATATGTAAAAGGAAAATACTAATTTATAACATGTATTTGTCAAACTCAAGTTTTGAAAAAGTAACTTCTTTCCATTAAAAGTTATATTCTCTTCACCTCTTTAATTATCTTGAATTCAAAATATAATAGCAAAACTATTTTTCCTCACCTTTCACTGTTAAGGTTTCTAGATCCATGGACTCAGTTTATTATTGCTAAAATAAACCCTACAGCAGAAGCCTTTATGTAGGTCATAGCTCCCTTTGAGAATATTTTAAAACCATGTACCTCTTCTCCATTAAAAGACACGTATGTACACACACACACAAAATTTTCAAACAATTCCCATTTAAGGGCTACAGATTAAGGACCTCTCTCTGCCTTAAAGACTGATTAGCTAAGTAGTTTTTACTTTTTCAGTGTCTGCCCAACTCATGACTACCTCTCTAAACAAGTACACCACACCCATTTCCACTACCCACACTCTGAAGGGTGGGCCCCAGCAGCAATGCTTATAGGATGGTACTTGCTCTGATTTATAGCACCAAGGATAAACATCTCCCCCAATTTGGGCCAATCTGATTCTCCTATGAATTTGGAAGAAGGTCCAAGAGACGCTCAATTTGATTAGGCTAGTCTCTTGCAAAGAGGAAAAATAAACTTGTCACAGGAAAATGACTAACGAAAGTGAAGGACAGGAATCTAGTCTAAAGAGAGAGAAAAATGAATCAGACTTGAGAGTTAACAAGAGAGTATTTCTGAGTTCCTGGCACTTCCCAGGCCTTAAGAGGCCTGGGTGTAAATTAAATAGAAAGATGGATTTGGCCTTTAAGGATAAAGATTAAAATTTTCAGGCAATCCGACAGAAAAAGCAAATCACTTACAGGGAAGGGGAAAAAATCAGGCTGGCCTCAGACGCCTCCACAGCAACATTCAATGCCAGAAGACAACTGGACAACGTCTACCAATTTCTACGGAAAAGAAAGTGTGACCCAAGAACATAAAACCCAGCCAAGATGTACTTCAAGTAAAAAGGCAAAAGCCAGACATTCTCAAACATAAAAGAGCAACAAAAAAATAGTCCTCAAGCCCAGCTGGCATGGCTCAGTGGTTGAGCATTGACCTATGAACCAGGAGGTCATGATTCGATTCCTGGTCAGAGTACATGCCAAGGTTGTGGGCTTGATCCCCAGTGTGGGGTGTGCAGGAGGCAGCTGATCAATGATTCTCTCTCATCACTGATGTTTCTATCCCTCTCCTTCTCCTTTCCTCCCTGAAATAAACAAAAATAATTATTTTTAAAAAAACAAAACACTCAAGAGCCCTTCTATTTTAAAAAAGTAAGCCAATCTAAAGTTAACCAAAAGTAACGTAGGAATGAAAAAAAAACAACAGTTTAAAAAAAAATTGATGGTAAACACTAAATACATCGGAATAATATAATAACAAAAATTAGAAGAGGATATAGAAGAGTAAAAGTATTTAAGTCCTCATCAGATAAGTAAACAGGTAAGATCTCTAATCAAATATGTTCTGAAAGAAGATACTAACTTCAGCTTAATATTTTTCATCTTGCTAAACTTTAAAGCAAACTTTTATAAAATATTATCTCATGTGGTAAAGATTAACTTGAAGTTTAATAATTCCTTCAAGTAAATTAAAGTAAAATTAAATATATTTTTAAAAAATAGTGCCCTGGCAGAGTAGCTTAGTTGGTAAGAACATCCTCCCAATATGCCAAGACTACAGGTTTGATCCCTAGTCAGGGCACATACAAGAATCAACCAATGAATGCATAAATAAGTGGAACAACAAATCCATGTTTTTCTCTCTCTCTCTCCCCCTTCCACTCTCTCTAAAAAAATCAATAAATAGCCCTAGCTAGTTTGGCTCAGTGGATAGAGCGTCGGCCTGCGGAACAAAGGGTCCCGAGTTCAACCCGTCAAGGGCACGTACCTTGGTTGCAGGTGCCACGGGCCCTGGCCCTGGTCGGAGGCAACCAATCGATGTGTTTCTCTCACATCGATGTTGCTCTCTGTCTTTCCCTCTCTCTTCCACTCTCCCTAAAAATCAATGGAAAAATATCCTTGGGTGAGGATTAACAAACAAATAAATAAATAATAAAAATAAAAACCAATAAAAATATATTTAAATGTATAAAGAAAAAGTCCAGAACAATATATCTCAAAATGTTAATAGTGATTAGTACTTAACCATGTTAGTGGAATCTAAGTTTAAGTAATTTTCTTACTTTGCTGATTTTTTTTTTTAAAGTATGTATTTCTTGAAGCCCAGAGGTCAGAGTGGGACCATCCAGCTTTAAGCTCCGTGGAACCATAAAAGACACACTCAGGAGGCAGACTCAGTGAGCACCAAAGCCCCATCGAAGCAAGTCTAGCCCCAGAGGGGTGTCTCCAGCACAGAAGTTCTCCCACTGCAGACACAGCTGATTCTCACAGCCAATTGACCTGGAGGTCAATTCCTCACAGTGATAACTACAACAATCAAGGCTTAACCACAACAAGACTGTGCACAAAGCCCACAAGGGGGTGCATCAAGAGTGTCTACCTTAGGTAATTGGGACACTTAGCACAGAAAGGCACTCTATCGACACAGCGAAGCATAAAAAAATGCCGAGACAAAGAAACAGGACACAAACGACAGAATTGGAGGAAAGCAAACTGTTGGATATAGAGTTCAAAACCACACTTTTAAGGTCTTTAAAGAACTGTTTAGAAGCCCTCGAAAAGACTGGTAAGACCGCCGATAAATGTAGTGAGATCCTCAAGAAATCTAATGAGACCCTCGATGTTGTGATAAAGGACCAACTAGAAATTAAGCATACACTGACTGAAATAAAGAATATTATACAGACTCCCAACAGCAGACCAGAGGGTCGCAAGGATCAAGTCAAAGATTTGAAATACGAAGAAGCAAAAAACACCCAACCGGAAAAGCAAAATGAAAAAAGAATCCGAAAATATGAAGATAGTGTAAGGAGCTCTGGGACAGCTTCAAGCGTACCAACATCCGAATTATAGGGGTGCCAGAAGATGAGAGAGAGCAAGATATTGAAA